AAAAGTAAAATTGATTTTTTTCTGGTAGATTCCTCCTTCTATTGCAAAGTTCGCATATATTCTTGGTTTATATGCAATTATATATATTAATTTTTTTTTAAACCCTAGTAACAATCAAAATTTGCCGAGTTTTCTTAGATTTTGCCGTAATCTATAAATTAAATTTTTTTCTCAGCTAGGCCTGTTTAAATGTTTAAATTAAATTAACCGTGAAATTTTGACAAAATTATATATCAAAATCAAGCAAAGGAAATTCTTGGCAGTGATGAGATGTTAAGGAATATTTATCCATCGAAGTAACAAATATTATTACACGATCTATTAGGATTTTGCGTAATTTAATGTATTTATCATACCTGATATTTTTTATGCTAATCAACATTATATTAATATTGGTACACGCACTAATCCTAATAGACAGTATAATAATATTGTTATTGAACGGGGCTATATCGGCCTTCGACTGATATTTTAACGCCCCGTTCAATAACATACAATTACTCTATATTATATATTGTGAAAATTGTGACTTTACTGAGGAACTGGTGAACGAGAAGAATATGACTGATACATAAAAGTCAGGAATATTTGCCGTTGGTTGAGATGAGTATAGAAAGTTGTATATGGGTTTGAGAATTACAGTTGATTATTATTAATACTTATGGCGCAGCATATGATGACTTTAAAACTAAATGTTTTCATCTATTCTAATTAAAAAAATTTGTAACGTTTAGCGTACCTGTATAAGAAAATCATTAAATGTGTAACGTTACAGAAATTTCAAAAAGGAAATTTTTTCTCCAGTAAAATTCGAGTTTGAGTCTCAAAATTGTTCGCACACGTCTCCATTTATGGAATTTGTGTATCGTCACGTGAATTAATCCCGTTGACAAGGCAACGGGCAACAGCTAGTAGAAAATTAAAAAAAAATAAAAATAAAAAATAAATTCAATTACCTAAAATGAAAAACCTAAGTAAATTTATTATATGAATTTACCGATCGAATGAAAGTTTATTTGGCAATTCACGATCAACCATGGCATTTTAGGCCTAATCTTCTTTTTGTTTCTGGAAAGGGCAATTTTCTGTGTAACTGAACGAACCTATCAATTTAATCCGGTTTTCAAGGAGGTATAAAATTCTGTAATAGTAAAAAGAATTAAATTTTTTTTTTTTTTTTTTATCTTTTCGTAATATCGAACTTGTTATGCAAATTTCCAATACTAACCAAGTCCCGGATAGTTTTGGTAAGAATTATTTGATAATTATGAGATAAAGAGAAAATAATTATTTCACAAGAGAAAAAAAAACTAGCAACAAGAATTTTCAATAATTAGTGAGCGACAAAAATATCGTGAACAATATAAAGAATATGTTTCTTGTTACCAACATTATCATAGGACAATGTTGAATAAATCGGAAAATTGAAAATGTATAATTCTAAAATAAAAAACCCTATATTCAAATATTTCAAAGAGTTTCAGACGGATATAAGCGGCTCAATTATCCTTGTCAATCCATCGACGACGTCTGCGCCAACGAGTGGAATTGAAACTAATAACGTTGCAAACCAACAACTACCAATTGACTTATTTCAAAAAGACCTTTCTAGGCCTTCATATGAAGAACTAGGAAAAGAACAATGCGGCCAACAAGATGATGAAAATATTCACAAGTTCCAAGCTAATGAACCTTTATCCAATGAACATCAAGAACGGAATATATCAGAAAACGTAATTTCAACCGGTAGAGACCAACTAATGAATACAACCATGTTCGATAACATTATAAATGACTTTGAGATGCAAACAAACAAATCTACCCAAGATTTGATTGAACATATTCCTGGTTTATATCGTTTATTAGACTTGTACAAAGATGATGGTTCGAATGGTCTTGGTATGTTTCTTTACAGATTTGCGAATTTGAATTTGAATATAAAAGATTACTCACCAAAAGTATAACATAATTTTTAGTCGATAAAATAATTATCTCAAAGGATTTTCTAAAGAAACTATGCGACAATGTGGCTCCATCAAGTTATAAGTCAATTTCTGAGATCAATTATACAAAATTGAACTCAATTTCTGTTCGCCTTATTGGATGCTACGGAAATCGCCGTTTAATTGCAAAACTCTTATTGAATTTAGAGATTATTAATCAACAAATGTATGTAAGATCCCAGATGAAAAAATTATTCCAATAGTCAAAATCAGATTTAATTGTTCTTTTTTTTTTTTAGATATGACTTGCTTACAGCCTCTCATCATCCTATCAACAACTCAAATAAACCTTTTTTACGTCCTGGTATTTACTTACTGGTTGTGAATCCAGATTTTGGTTTAGTTATTCATTGGCCCGAAGTAGGATGTTACGAGGAAAATGCTCCTTCACAATGCAAAAAGAATATGACTAAC